TTAACCCTATGTATACTAGCTCTGAACCCTGCTCTATTCTGTGCCAACCTTATTGTCTCTGACATACCTACCCCCATTACCCCAGTCACTGAATCATCCATATCATCTAGGGTCTTCCTTTCTTGCACTGTCCCTCCACCCTCCCAAGCATGATACACCTCTCCAAGGAATGATCCCTCCTTGCAATATACCCAAAATATGTCAGATGGAGCTTCAGAATCCTTGCCTCCAAGGAGCAGCCTGGTCTCACCCTCTCTAGAACAAACTTGTTTGTTCTCCTAGCAGTCCATGATACATTCAATACTCTTCTCCAGCACCACAGCTCAAAGGCATCAATTCTCCTATCATCCCTAGTCATTGTCCAGCTTTCTGACACATAGCAAGCAATGGCAAAGACTATGAACGGGATCAGGTGCACCTTAGTCTCCAGACTGACATTGTTGCTCTTCAGTACTCTAGAGAACTCCCTGACAGTACACTTTTCCAATGCAACTTATCTTTTGATTTCTCGACTGCAGGTACCAAGAGTGTTGATTGTGGAGCCAAGCAAACTAAAGCTGTGAACAATCTCAATCTCTTCACCATCTATCGTGATGCTGCCAATAGGCCCAGTGGTGAGAATCTTTGTTTTCTTCATGTTGAGTTTCAACCCACACTGAAGGCTGTAATCCTCGACCTTCTACAGCAAGCACTTCAGGTCCTCCTCAGTTTCAGCAAGCAGGATTGTGTCTTCTGCATAACGCAGGATGTTAATGAGTCTTTCTCTAATTCTGATGCCACACTCTGCCTCATAGAGCCCAGTCTCCTGGATGATTTCTTCTGCATATAGATTAAAAGGTATGCAGATAGGAAGCATCCTTGGTGTATACCTTTCCTGATTTTGAGCCAGGCAGTGTTTTCTTGCTCTGTTCTGATGACTGCCTCCTGGTCCAAGTATAGGTTTCACATAAGCACGAGTGTTCTGTGATTCCCATTCTTATCAGAGTTAGTCACAGTTTGTTGTGATCCACACAGTCAAATGTCTTTGCATAGTCAATGAAGCACAGATAGACATTCCTCTGGTACCAAAATCCATATGACATTAGCTATCACATCCCTAGTACCACAAAATCTTCTAAACTCAGTCTGCACACCTGTCAGTTCTTTGCTGATGTGCTGTTCCAGTCATTTTTGGATAATTTTCAGCAGAATCTTGCTTGCATGTGATATTAATGATGTTGTTCAATAAATAGTATTACTAACATTTAATCATGTAAACACCAGATACAGGAATGATAGAAATTCTGTTCTAACTGATTATCAGAAGAAGGAAAGGGGTTTGTAGGGCTTAAAACTTGGTATATGGAAGCAGACGTGGCATCCACTCCCTAAACAACTTGCCTTTGAAAACTATATGAAAATTAAACTAGATAGCTCAGGTTGATATCTTACTCATTCTGAGTCCTTTGGTTTTTGTAGTCTGGGTGTAATATAAACTGTTAAGTGTTAATAGCTATGCTATGAAATGATGACATGCACTATTTGTTGTTGGAAAGAAAACTAGGTGTTTTTTCCTTTGTATGGCTCAGACCTATCTGGACCAACAGCTCACCTTTGGACAGATGTTAATGTGATGTATTCAGTTTGGAAGGGGTTCTCAATAAAGCTTTTCTGTCCTAATAAACAAGATCAATTGATAGTTAAGACAATATTTGTCTCTTTTTCTTAACTTTTACTTATTTCTCTAGGAAATTACATTCCATGTGTTAATAAAGAAGTAGCCAATTCCTTGACTCATTATTGGAGCAACACTCTTTTCCCCTTTTCCAAAGAGACAGACTCCATTGTTGATGATGTTAATGCTAGGTGCCGTCAAGTGGACTGCAACTCATAGTTACCTGTGAACAACAAATCAGAACTTTTCCCTACCCTGCATCATTCTGAAGTCCATTGTTACAGCCACCATATTAACCCACCGTGTTAAGTGTCTTCTCTTCATGGACCCTCTGCCTTTCTCAGCATGATGTTGTCTCTATTGGAGAAGAGTGAATGTCTGTCTTTTGGCAGTGTACCTTCACATTCCTATAAAAAGGAGACACCAGAACGAGGTCATTCATCCTGACGGTCTTCATTGCCCTAAAGCCTTAGTCATTCTTTAAGGCCTGGGGAAGATCTACCCTCTTTGGTGTGTTTTTCCCTCTCATGTGTTTCACTTCCTAGAACCTTATGGTTCTCAGACTCAGTAAGAAGTGAATTGTTACTTAATTTCATTTTAATTGTTTCCTCTAAATGGGTTAATTGTATTGCCTCAGATGGATTATGAGCTCCAGGAGGAAAAATTTTGAAACCATTCTCAACTTCTCAGGTATTTAAATGCAGTGTAGCCAACATAATAACAAAAAATAGTAATACCAACAATGATAATAACAATCACAATTTAAAGGGAGAGTATGTTCCCAGGAGCCCTGGGGGTAGTCTGCATAAAGTGTCAGACTGCTACCGGAAGGGTTGGTGGTTTGAATCCACCAGTTTTCCCACCGGAAACACATGGGCGGTCTCCTCCCACAAACATTTACAACTTTGGACGGGACGCCCAATGGCGTCAGAACTGACTGAAAGGCAGCAGATTTGCTTAGTTTGCTTGTTGGTTGATTTATTATAGCCTAAAAACCTCTGCTAATTCTACAGTTTCTCACGAAAAAGCCCTATGAAGTCACTTTTAATAGGCCCAATTTATAGATACGGAAACCAAAGCCCAGAGCTGAAATAACTTAAGCTTGCTGAAATCAAGCAGGGCATCAGCAGCCCAGATTTTAGCCTTCGGATATCTGACTCCAAAGCTCTTTCCATTACTGATGGGTGGGTTCAAATGCTCCCATCCCCTACTACCATCCATCTCTTATAAGTCACAGCATGAAAGGAACACAGGGAGACAGAGATACAGGGCCAGACTTTATTAAGACAAATTACACACATTCCTTTTCTTTCCCGAAAGCCTTTTGATGGTGAGTCAAGGAGCAGTCTCATAGACTTTCTAAAACAAGAGCACACATTTCACAAAACATATATATTTCCAGGGTGGAAGGAGAATCTTACTGCTAGTGATAGGCAATAGGTAAAAAAGGTGGCTCCCTCCAAGAACCTGAAATGACTGGTCATTCTCCCTCCCTTCCCCCCTTCCCCCTCATTTTTTCCTCAGCCATAACAGCATCAAAATATCAGCGGAGAAGGACCAGAAGACAGACTCTGAGCCCCTTCTATGTCTCGTCCTCCTACTGTCCTGACCTTTCAGGCTGATGACAGGTGCAGTGAAGCTCGAACCCTCCGCCAAGCAGCTGGTGAGGAACACAAGATCTTAGCTAACTCCTCCAAAGTTTCCTAATTTTAGCAGTCCCCTCCCCTTCTTCTACCATCACATGCACGATCATGAGCATGTTCTTGGACACGCACACACTTTTTAAAAATAAAGCAATAATTTCTCTGTAGAGCTCAATATCCAATTCTGAGCATCCTTCCTTTTCATCTCAAATAGCATCCACTCCTTTTGAATGAATCAAATTGTAAATGCAGGCCAGTTCCTGGGGAAGGAGGAGTTTTTCTGTAGCTCCCGCCCACTTGGAAGTCTCACGAGGGGCACTAGGTAGGAAAGAGGAATCTCCATGCTTTTAAGTAAGATCCCTGCTAAAAGAACTGGAGATTCCCCCCCCCCCGCCTCCACGCCCATGGCCACCCTCCAGGAAGAGAATCTGGAGGCCACCATAGCTGTCATCACACCTCCTCTTCACTCTAAGTTGGCAGTCAGCAAGGGAAATAAATAGGAGGGGAAAATAGTTTTCCAGTGTTTTCTCTCCTTCATTTTTATCCTTACAGTAGTTATTTTCTTCCCAGGGGAATCTGTCTCTGAGGAGCATAAAGCCCTCTTTGTTTTAACAAGACCTAGGGAAATTCCACCAGCCTCCAGGGCTGGTGATCTGGTCAAGATCCCAGAGAGGACGACAGCTTCTTGGGCATTCCTGCCCATAAAGTAGTCCGGGAGCACAGGGTGAACAGCTAAAGGTGGAGGAACGGGAGGGATGGTTTCTATCACTGGGTTGGAGCCACAGGATGTCAGGTGGTGGCAGGAAGGAATTCTAGGGCAGTTGGTGAACAGTGACTCCCTGGAGGAGCTGGCATCCCAAAGACCTGGCATGTGCCCAGGAAGAAGGAAAGGCTGCAACATCACCAAGGTGGGATATTTGCCAGAGGTACATATTGAAGGCACGTGTGAAGTTGAGGCTGCTGGTCAAGTTCCAAAGACCCTTTTGAAGACTGTGCAGAGGGAGGTACAGCCAAGGTCAGTGTAATCATGATCCAAGTATGGAGACAATAGATCAAGAGAGTATCTGTAACATCTGTCAAGTTCCTGGATTCACACTTAATATTGGCTGGGAACTTAGAGTTTTCTTGGTTTGGCTAGAGGACAATAATCAGAGCATTCCTAGTGACTTGCAAGGACCTTTGGTATGTTATTTTATTTAATATTTATTCTATCTCTCTAGCTATCCCTCCCAGGTCTCATATTTTGCCAAGCTTCCCATCCCTTTTTCTATCCACAGGTTAACTGTTGGGCTGCTAATTGAAAGGTCAGTAGTTTGAACCCATCAACCACTCCACAAAATAAGGATAAGACAGTTCCCTCTGATTGAGATTTATAGTTTTGGAAACCCGTTGGAGGGTCACCAGGAACAGAAGTGAGTTTAATTTGGTTTTTGGTATTTGCTGAGCAATCTGAAAAGGTCTCGCTGAGTATCTTGGGTGGCAGATAGAAGACACAGCAGTCCAAGTGGGTGCTCATGTCTCTGACTTCACAGATACAGCGCCCTGGTCACATGTTCTGGAATAAAAGAGCAACGTCATGGAGACCAGAGAACTGAGAGGCACAAGGTAGCGATGAGAACCAAGAGCACATAGGATCAGATGGGACGACTCTTCCATCTCTGACCCACCTTTGTTCCCACCTGGTCCTGATCCACTCCGGAGGGTCACACGGATAAGTCATCCGATCGGGCTTTGCTGCTGGCCTTGCTCAGGCGTCGCTTGTCACTGTGGTAGCCATGGGGGAGGCGGGGGCCTGGGGAGACTCCATTGGGCACCTCAGGCCTCTGGGTGTAACTAATGTGCATGAATCCCTCCCCCGGAATGTCTTCCTGGCCTCGCTCAGTGGCCAGGTTGTCTGTGTTCTGCTGCGAAGCCATCTTGTTACTGAAGGGGCTGAAGAATTTCCCCCCAGGCCCGGGCTCCAGGCACTGGCTGAAGTCGGGGGGCGGGGTGCAGCCCTGGTTCAGCTCTGCGGTAGCACCAGGAAGCGGAGCCTTGCTCTTGACAAACTGGTGCCTGATCTTCTTCCAGCCCAGGTGGTAGAGTTCAGCCAAACTGAGGAAGAGGGACAGGCCGGCCACAGCCAGCATGAACACGATGAAGACATTCTTTTCCGTGGGCCGGGACACGTAACAGTTGACCGGGTGAGGGCAGGGACTCCTGCGGCAGACGTGCAGGGTGTCCAGGAAGATCCCGTAGATGAAGTACTGGCCCAGAATGAAAGCCACCTCCATGCTGGTGCGGATCAGGATGCTGCACACGTACGTGTTGAGCAGAGTGCCTCGGAGGACGATCCTTCCGTTCGCTTCCTCCCAGCAGGCCAGCTCTGTCTTCTCAGCCACCGGGTACTCATAAGAACCAGCCCCCCGGGCCTCTTTGGTCCTCTCAGCCTCCTTTAACTTGCGCTTTTCCTGCATGCGCACCGTGTGCATGGCGTGGCCCATGTACACCAGCGAGGGCGTGGACACGAAGATGATCTGCAGCACCCAGTAACGGATGTGGGAGATGGGGAAGGCCTGGTCGTAGCACACGTTCTCGCAGCCGGGCTGCATTGTATCACACTGGAAGTCGGCCTGCTCGTCCCCCCAGGAAGACTCGGCCGCTGTGCCCAGCACCAGCATGCGGAAGATGAAGAGGACAGTGAGCCAGACCTTGCCGATCACTGTGGAGTGCTTGTGGACTTCCTCCAGGAACTCTCCCAGGAAGCTCCAGTCACCCATCTCGGCTCAGCCAGGACCTGCAAGCAGCGGAGAGGAAGAGAGAGACGGAGCTTTCAATGAAGGTCTCCGAGGCCTCACCAGGCTCAGGGACGCCACTGTCCCTACCACTAGGTTTTTAAGAAAACTCTGGTGGCTTAGTCGTTAGCAGTTGGGCAGCCAACCCCACAGCATGCATTTTGAATCCACGAGCTGCTAGAGAGGAGAAAGATGAACAGTCTCCTGCTATGAGACTCACAGTCTCTGAAAAATGTTCATTCATAGCAGCGTTATTTACCATCACAAGAACATGGAAACAGCCCAAATGTCCAACCAGAAATGAATGGATTGAGAAATTGTGGTACATTCACACAATGAAATACTACGCAGCAAGCAGGAGCAATGATTTTGTAAATCACTACCTAACTTGGGAGGGACTGGAGAGCATTATGCTGAGTGAACTAACTCAGTCTCACAAGGACAAATACTGTATTAAAGCCATTATTGTAGAATGAGTATGAGGATCCAAGGAAGGGGTGAAGGTGGGGGAGGGGTGGTGTTGGATGGGTGTTAATCACAGGGTCACACAATTTGATGAGTGTTGGAGGGTAAAGGAAATGGGAAAGATCTGGTGTGAAAAAACAATGTATATGAACTTTGTTAAGTAAATCTGTATAAAATATAAATTTTATTTAAAAAATTTTAAAAAAATCCACTTGGAGTGTCAACAATGAGTTGGTTCTGACTGACTGACACACAATAAAGAGAACAAAGTGTCTCAAAATAAATTTATTCAAATTGTGTAAAAAAAACTAGTGTTAAGAGAGAAAAAGCAAATATTTAAAAAAAAAACCACAAAAAAAGTGCAGCTTACATGTCAAATGGACCCCAAACTTCCCACTTCTCTCCCTCTCTGTCTCTCTCATTAATTTTCTTGTTCTCTCCCTTCCTCCTCTCCTCTCTCTTTCAGGAAAAACCAATAAACAGAAAAACCAATACAAAAGAGAGGTAAGATTCAGAGAGGATTCAATGTCAGGAGAATTAGGTCATGATTCTCATACTGGTTATGTTGCCCAGCTAATCCAATAGACACTCTTTTCCATCAATTCCAATCCACTAGCAACTCCAATCTGCCTGTGACTCTGAGGGAGAGAGATGGCAAGCTCCTGTGCGATTTATAGCAGCTAAAATTCTGTGGACTGTTAGCTGTTAATTGGTTCATCCTCTGCAGCGACGAGTTTGAGTTTTTGAGGAATCACCTGAGGTGTGTATTATTACAATTAGAATTTGATGCTTTTGCCCCCTAAGATAGTGCAGGCCTGGGCAATGTTTTGTTCAATTCTATGCAGACTTCCAATGAGTCCATTGATGACAATTAAAAACCACAATCCCCACAGATTCTACTTCAAGAGGGCTGGGTTGGTTCCCGGAATCTGGATTTGTAACAAGTAGTCCAGGTGACTCAAACATAGGCAGCCTAAGAGCCAGCCACACATTGAGAAACCTTGGAGTAGTGGAAAGTACACATAATTGGAGTCTGCAAATGTGACTCTGGCCTTTTACTCACCTGTAAAATGGGCAAGCAAACAGTTCTACCAGAGAATGTTGAGGAGTAAATGTCATAATTTATGTGATATGCTGAAAACATACACCACAAACATTTCCATGTATTTGAATGGCTGTCAGATAGAAAAAGAATTAGTTGACTCCAGAGGACAGAACCAGCTGGAAGAAGGAAAGATTTATGGTAGGGAGCAAAAGCTTTGGATTGTCCCCACCCCCACCCCAAGCACTCTGACAATCAGAGCTACCCAGCCTGGATCAGCTGGGTTGGGAAATGGTGAGTAAAAGCATGCTTCAATCACACTAGCTAAAGGTATCATAGTTGGTGCTCCCGTTCCCCTCTCTGGTAAGAAGCAGCGTTGCCAAAATGAGCCCTCGTGACTCAGAGCAGCATAGCATTCCATCCACACGGCTCAGTGGGGCCTATAGGATGTCTTCTTCCAGCTCAACTCCCCTGCTGCTATGTGTTGTCTACAGGAGGCACGTGCGCACACGCACGCACACACGCACACGCATGCGCGCTCAACCTCCTGTCCAGAATAAATCCCCCAAACCTCGATGTCCCGTACAAAATTTCAGCTAGCTTTTGCCTACTTCCTCAGTCTTGTTTACTTCCTGTACTCCACTAGTCCGCTTGGGATCACCATGTCCTAGCAGATTCCCCAATGATCCCCCCCATATCCTCTTTTATACAATCTCCCAGCCCATCCTTCATCCCTCAGAAGGTAAGCTCGTCCTGCCTTTGTCCTGTCTCCCTACTCCTTCAGACTCCGAAGACACTTTCTCCTCTCTTGGCACATGCCACCCCCTTTGCTAATCCTCTGTGTTCTTCTGTGGCACCTCCTAGAGGAGAGGCATGCCCCTCTCCTCTGTGTCAGCATCCGCCCAACCCAGAGTAGGTGCTCAGTAAACCTTAGTTGAATGAGAGAAGGAAGGGTGGAAGACACTGCTAATTACCAGTTACTCTGGTTATGACACCTTGACCACTAATCTAAGGGTTGGCAGTTTGCACCCAGCCAGTGGTGCCCTGGAAGAAAGGCCTGGCTACCTGCTTCTGTAGAAGGTGTAGCCAGGAGAACCTCATGGAGCAGCTGTGCTCGGAGACACATAGGAGCACGAGTCAGAACTGACTCGATGATTGGGTTTGGTGTTCCTTGTCACCTCTCATCACATAGTGGAAAGAGTCAGGTAGCACTTTGACAGTCTCCACTGCAGGTAGTCCTGGTTAAGGTGATCCGAGGGAAATCTAATCTAAAGAAGATGTTGTATCTAAGACTTTTCCATGGCTGGTAACAGGAGAGGAGCCTTACAGTTCTCCCCATACTCACTGCTTCCAGTCTGTGGACAGGGTTAGTGTGAGCTAAGATGTCTGAAGCTGCTTTGAGAATCTCAGCAATGCCAGTTCATGCCCTGATTCCTCCTCCTTCCAGAATTCTTCACTTGATGAACAATAAGCGTCTTGTGGCTGAAACCTCCAGCTAATCCTAATCAAATGGACGACAAGAAGATAGGAGCAAGTAGAACATAAATATTCCCTTCCCAGTATCATGACATCAGGGTTAGATGGGCTCTTAGAGGCTGTCAAGCTCTAACTTTGACCTTCATATCTTCACTGTCAACATGCCTTGCTTTCTACTGGAGCATGGTGGGGAAAGGCAGGGCAGAGCCCTCATATTTCATAGTCCAGGCTTCCTTGGTACTGAGTTGATGCCTTGACAGAAACCAACCCCCTGACCCTGCTTCCTCCCAGCTCCCAGCTCTGCAACCTACAACCCATAGAGTTCACTGAGTCCCCGAGAGTGATGGAATCCATGGGGGGGGGGCTTTATCTCTGCTCTGCCCACCCCTAAAGGTCCATGCAGGGAGTAAGCCTGTCCTCTGACTTGTGATCAGATACCTCCCCTTTTCCTCAGGTGATGAGCATCTCCTCTGCTTCTCCTCAGGCTCCAAATATGGAACATTGTGGAACATTTGTTCAAAAGGAAAATGGCTGATTAGATAAATGTTTGAATGGCCTGTCATCTCTGCACGCAGTTTGTGCACAGCACACAGCATCTTCAACCCCCTCCAAGCAGGGACTAGGCTGTGGGAAGTGTTTGAAAAAGAAAGAGAGAGTGGAAAGGGGAGGAGTTCAAAGAGAGAGACGAAAGACAGGAGACAGGAGCAGAAAGGAAAAAGAAGGGAAGTTGGGCATGTAAAACAAGAAATCATGTCATAAAGAGGCTGTCAGTTTGTCACACTGGTGGCTCATGTGCTGCTATGATGCTAGAGTCTATGGTTCCAGGATTTCAGAGACCAGGTGAGTCACCTACAGTGAGCAGGGTTCAACAGAGCTTCTGGACTAACAGACTGGGAAGACCTGGAAATGTCCCGAAGATGAGACAAAAACCCCAGTGGACACCACAGAAGTCCATCTGAGAGAAGGCTGGAGAATGAGCTCCCCAGGTTCACAGGCACTAAGAACACAGTGGCTGCAAGGATAGACTCAGGAACAGGTGGCGTAGGACTAGCTAGCACTTTTTCAATTGTGCCTGACATCACCACAAATCAGCCGGGCATGAGAAATGACAGACTTTGTTCAACTGGAGTTCAAATGCCTGTTGCTATTCGCCTGAGGCCAGGCAACTACTCAATAAATTACTCAGTCAGTGCCTCAGCTTCCTCATCTGAAAAATGTGAATACTATTATTTAGTTTTCAGGGCTTTATAATTTAATATATAAAAGGCATATACCACAGTACTCAGTACATAAGAACAAAATAAAAGGTAGTCTTTGCTCACAAAGTCTTTTCATCTTTAACTCCTTGGCTGATACTCATGTGAGGTCAAAGAAGTTAAAAACTGTTCCTCTGTACCAGCTGCTCTGTTTATAACATTCATAGACAGTTCTTTGCTGAAGGAGCCCTGGTAGCATAGTAGGTTAAATGTTGGGCTGGTAACCAAAAGATTGGCAGTTCGAATCCAAATCCAACATGTTCCTTGTAAGAAAGATGAGGCAATCTTTTCTCGTTGGGATTTACAACCTTGGGAACTCAATGGAGGGTTGCTGTAAGTTGGAATTGATAGTGGTGAGAGAAGAGAGAGAGCATATGCATGCTTAATGGAGAGAGCAGTGCATCTCAAAAGAGAATAGAGAAGCCAATGGGAAAGTTAAAGGAGAGAAAATAAAGAGGAAAATTAGAAGGAAACAAAAAGAAAGAGAACAAATGTCTCCTTTTTCCAGGGTTTGGGGCAAGTTTTCCAAGCTCTCTTCAACCCCTGAAGATTTTTCCTTTGATCTTATGCTTCTGTCATTCATTTAAAATTTATTTTTACGAGTACAAAAATAGTTCAGCTGAAGAATGTGACCCTTCGGTCTGGTCTGCTATGAAATATGCTACTGACTCCTTTGCTTATGGCCCACTGAAACCCACCTGGGAGAAGTACCTTGCATGGACTTAAGAAAGGAACATCTTGGAAAA